ATCGATACCTGTACAAGCAACAAGACTATTGACTTCTAATCACTGATTTATTTATTCGCATAGACATTTTTCCAAATCTTCCGCGAGGCAAACAGAGCTATGAAATCGATAAAAGATCGTCAGTGGAGAAAAACTGCGAACCAGGAATACCCATGACCGTTTCCCGTAGAAATCTGGAATATGGAAACACCATTCACTACGTTTGTACAGTGCATGCAGAAACGTCTATCTTACCTATTATACTTTCGGAGATGCCTGGTTTTTCACTTTCAAAAAGATTCATCAAGAAAATCGACAAATTAGCTGCTAGGAGGAAAGTAATTGCTTGCTTTCCTGGTTGGTTATGTCTGGATGCTGTGCCAACTTTTACTCTCGAAGCCAGATAGATCAGGAATGTCTGGGCTCCAACCTGAATAACACAAATCGTCCAGTAAATAAGGAAGTTGAAGGGTAAGATAGGCAAAAAGGAGTTCACGTTTTGCTCTTACCTGTATGAGTCTGAATATATGTACAAAAAACAGAAGGAATGCTAATGGTTGCCATTGTGCGTCTCCAGTCAGTCCAACAAGCCCTGCTACTGAGTAGATCAGCTCACCAACTAGTCCCAACCACAGAAGGATTCGGTCCAAAAGCTCCTGACAAGGTAAGACATGACGAAAAGCGTTGACATTACAGACTGGAATATTCTTCATCTACTAAAGTACAGCTGATTCTATCGAAATCACCCAGGTCGGTTTCAAGGATGGAAATGAGGCCCACCTGCCGCGTTTCCACCACTGGTTGTTTTCTTGAGAGGTTGCCATTTGTAGAACAGAAGAGCCGGAGACGGGCTCATCCCGCCCTCCTTGTACGGCTCCCAACTGATTGCAATTATAGGTACGATCAAATGGGTGCACAGCGTTTGTTTTTGGAGGGGTATTCATCTCTCGAGGGGTATTCATCAAGTGGGCGGAGTCATTCAGTGTACTGGGCCTTCGTGGTTAGCGTTCCCTCCACTTCGCCATTTTACTCTTAAAGGCCGCGTCCGCGATCAGCAAGGTGAAAAAACCCTGCACTGTACAAGATCGCGGAGTCCACAACCACAGCGGATATCCCACTCTTGCGGCTCGAAATCGATTGATTGACGAAGGCGGAGTCAACAATGCTAAGCTGACCCCGCCTGTCCTGTTAATCCCGCCTCGACTGGTTTTCCATTATCAATCCTCGCTGGCATGATGGATAATCGCTGAATTTCTAGCGTTTGTTTCGTACACTGATAGAGAGATTAACTCATAGACACATCGATTATCAATGCCAGCGTGGATTATTAGATTAGATAAGGTAACCTAGGTGGTAGACACATGAGAATTAGCCGCAACGAGGCGGCGAATTGTATTGGAGAACTCACCCAAAAGCTGCGGAACTCGTCCAGATGCCTTAAAGCGAATATCTTATTCCATGTTCTTGCACCCCTTTTTCCTACTTTTTTTGATTAATGCTTCATTTGCCACCTGTTCTAACAAATCTGAGCCCTAAAACCTGCCAAAGTCCATCGCGGGCGCTGTCTTTAAGTGATGAACCTACCAACAAGAATCTGCACCTTACCAAATGTGCTGAGCACTCAACACATAGTTTGATCCCTCTGAAGATGCATTTCGCATTTGCTTTGCGCGAAAACTTCTGACAGGTCACGGCGCCAGGCTTCTTCGCTAGGAGCGGATACGAATAGTTCTGTTTATGGGGACACATCGTCTTTGGCGGCAGGAACTCGTCACAACTTACTTGAATTTCCTTCCGAGAATTTATTCAATACAAGTTTCATTCCAAATTTTTTTTCAAAATCTGGCCTGGAATTTGAAGTCCGCGGCAGTGAAGGGTAAATGGTGCCAATCCGAACTTCTGAGATTGAGATAGTTGCAGTGCTTACGCAGGGTCGCAAATATGCCATAGCACATGTTTGTCTTCAGCCTCCAATTAGAAGCGGGTAAAGGTCATCATTGCGGACCGGTGGGGCGTGTCAGCCAGTATGAGTGTGCACACTGTTGAAGCCGTTCTCAGCCTTTTTGTTGAAACGCGTATGCGACAAAAAGTGGTAGAAAACGAGTAATACGGAGGATATAATACAGTCATATCATTTGCTCGCTTTAAATACTGGTGGAGAGCGGGTTTGGCACCGCGCCAAACGCAGCCGCACTGAACCGCCCCGACAGTACGTAATGATGAGGACTGTACTTTTTGGAGGCGCTGAAGAGTGACGAGACAAAACAGACAGCCGCTATATCGTCGGCGCCCCATAGCCGAACCTGAACGGCCTTCTCTCGCTGTTTAATTTTGTAAAGCTTCGATGAATATTGTCTAAACGCTCCGATGTGCTTGGGCGAACAGGTCGAATGTGTTCGCCAGCGAAAGACAAGTGATTTTCGAGCCGGGAGTAGTGAACTACTGGAAAAAGGACAGGCTCACGTTACACAAATTATCGTTGGTAGGCCAAATCTGTAGGACCAGCTCTTGTAAAACAAGGGAAGAATCAAGTTTACCTTGGCCATAGGCACAGTGCAATATTACTAGAAAACGATACCTGGTCCCGTGATGCACCACTGTTGTTCCATTTGTCAACAAACGCCAATTTTCTCATCTGATAGATTGCCATAACACAACCGATGGAGGCTATCACGTACTGCAACAAGAGATATTGTAGGAATAAAATTTGCCTCAAGCGAATAGTATAAGTAAAAAAATCAACTACACGACATCAAAAAATGCCCTAACAGCGTCCTCTGACAGCTTCACAACGAATTCAGTTCTTTATAATGGTGAAACAATGGCGAAATAGCTTGCCACAGTGGTAGGGAGTGACGTCACTAACCATAAGGAGAGGGTGCTAATAGGCGCACCAATGAAGGACAAAGCAAAAGAACTAGCCAAAAGCCCTACCTCCGTCCCCTCCCAAGTTATAAGCTCTTTTTGCGATTGACTTTGAGCATTGCGCGTGCATATGGCCACGAATCATAGAGCATCTGAACAAGAAAGGCGGGCGATACTGAGGGAGTACCACTGTCGAGCGAGACCACTATTCTCCGCAGGTGCCCGTGCTGTGCGTCTGAAGGGGGGGAAGGCGTAAGTGGGAGTTCGTCGGACGACGTCACAAACCTGCAGCCCGCATATTAACTGGTAGCACTGCCAGTTTTATTTTCAGCAAGACGCTCAGCTCACTCGACCGAAGAACTCCTGCTCACACAGCTCGCACATGAAGTAGGCCAACGGAAGAAGCAAGATGATGAGCTCATAAGCGGCCTTCTTCGCCTTGATTAGCAAATAGAAGGGCTTCAAGACCCAGGACCGACTCGACCTAGGCTCCACCTAGGTCGAGTCGTTGTCGCGAGGAGAGATCATCTCATCCATGGGTCATCTCATCCATGTGCGCGGCACTTGTATCCCTCCACTACATTCCCACCCGTCAATTTCACTATTCGAGGGTGCAGGATCAGCAATTCAACATTGATTCTAAGAGCAACACCTGAGAAATGTCTGTAAGAGCATAGGCAAACGCCGCCTTCTTGCTTTTTCCAAGAATCGAGTACCCATAGTAGACCAGCATTGAAGTAAAAGTAGCCGCCAAAAAGAGTAATCCGAGGAACAAACCTGGAAAACTTTAATCAACTTACATAAACTAATTGTGAGTAATTAGTTCTCACCAGTCGTGGTATTCGAACAATCCATTCGAATACGATGCTTTCGTTTCACGTACTCTGACCCATGGCCTACTTCACCTATATTTCTCCACACAATATACATTACTGCAGCTGCGATTAATGAATATTCGACAATTGCCGTGAACATCACTTCTGACAAGCTCCCTGTAAATAAAAGACTATATTTTCAACTGAAGTAGTCTTCATTGATCATCCTTATGGAGGCACACGTTGCATCGCGCGCGGCAGCGCGGCGATTCGTGACCACCGCGCGCGACATTTACGTTGCAGCCGCACGCGATTTTATAGAACGACCACTGCTCCGCACCCATAAACACAACCAGTGTTATCTTTTGCAAATCGTTCCCAAACCACTAGCAGCTCATGTAGAACTCATTGACTGCAGTGAAGACAGCTATCACAAGCTGTAGCTTCAGACGCGGCAACTGAAACCGGCGCAAAAATTAGAATCTTCTGAAAAAGCGAAAATTCACCTTATATGAGGCAGGGTTCGACACTGTCTTTCACCACGACAGCCTTTCTAGAAGTAGCCGTTCTGCCACCCGCATGTGCCACAAGCAGTGTGCAGTTCCTGAGGACAAGCCACCCAAACGTGTGAACCGCAGGAATAGGCAGTTTCGGGTAACGGTAGTCAGTCGCCTACTGAAGGGAATTGAGCGATACCCGCACTATAACCAGCACTCTGGTGCTCCAATGAGTAGCGTGTAGGCACGCCACCTGGCACACTCATACCATCTAGCCCAAGAGCTCCATCGAAAAACTCGCCAGCGTCGCGCACGCATCGCGCGTGGCTGTCGTCCACGGTGATAGCGATTAGTCGTGTAATTTTCCTCATTTTGATTGACTATTGAGGATGATAACTGCTGTTTGACATCGCAGTACGCGCTTTGAAGGTTATCACTAGAATGCTGAGGTTATGGGCGAAAGTCAGACCCCAACCGATCTCGATCCCTTATCTCCCGCTGACCGGGCGAGTGCGCACACCGAAGCCATTGAGCTGGAAGGGTAAGAGCGGCCCAAGTAGCGTAATGGATGGCACACTCGTCCGCCAATGTGCAAGAATTGTATGAGCTCTGTAGAAAATTATACCTAGTATACATTCGGCTGCATGACAACTGCCCATGACCTGAATATCACGATGTTCAAAGGCGTCAAGCGATGCCTCATCCATCTCGGGCTGAGATCGATTACTTATCGTCTTGAATACGTCTCTAAAAATCAGAAGTGCAAATCGATTACTTACTCGTCTGAATAATGTCTCTAAAATCAGAAGTGCAATGAATCGAAGAGTGATGTGGATCATTCATGTACCTGATTTCTTTCTCCATGACTCCTTCCTCCATCAACACATATCGGATCCACGTCCACAAATTGGCTGCTATCAAATGCATTGTCCCAAATCGTGCAGCTACATGATGTCCAGTGAT